TATTTTGTGTCAAAGAAAACAGAAGCATCACGTCTTTTATAAAATCGAATAGTGTTGTTTTTGTACGCGTCAAAATCCCAGCAATAACTAAAACTGTCTTGTCTCATGCTTTACGACGCTTACATCTGAAATGAATGCTAACTGATGCTAATTTGAATGACCACTGCAAAAAGCGATGGAAAAAAACAGTCAAAAATTGCTCAAATTTGGCAACATGTTTTTTAATCAGTGCAAATTTTGACTGAATTAATACAAGATTTGCCTATGGGACAAAGAAAAAATATAATTTTATAATTATACAAGAAATGTCTCCCCTGGAATGAGAAAATAAAGCAACAGTTCTTGAAATAAAACTAATAAAATGGCTTTGTTCCTTTTATAAATCAAGACATAACCACTTAATTCAAGCAATTATTACCATTTATTTTTATTTTTTTGCAGTGGAGCGTCTTTGAGTGTCCGAAAAAGAGTTATACAAAACTGATGTATTATTATTTCTTTATTCTGCATCGGGCGTCTCCAAAGCGGTCCAGAAATGGCCGCTGTGACTTCAGGTTTTCAGACCAAGCAGGAGCAGAGCAGACTCCACCCACTTCCTCAAATCTTCAGGTTAAGACTGAATTCACTTGAGGATACGGGTGATGAGTAAATCACACACATTTTTGAAAGTGAAATGTCTGACAATTGATCAGTGATGATGTTTGAATGTCATGATAAATACAATAGTTCCTATAATGACACTGTATCTTTACCCCAGTTTAATCTGGAGAGTCTTAAAGAGACAAAACATGGGTATTATTTTAACTGTATATTGGTTGCAAGTAATCTGATACTACATTCATTCATTTTCGACCCTTTTATTAGTCCATTTCTGGGTCGGGGAGGTGGCAATGAGAGCTGCCACCCAATGCTCATAACCGGTCCCTCTTTGATCCTCTTGCAGGTGGTGGGTCCACAGGAGCCTTGATCTTCCAGCAGGGGCTTCAGACAACGTGGGGTAAAGTTTCTTTTTTTCTGACACAGCGACAGTAGACATTTGTGGGAGCAGTTGGAGTAGGTCCCATGGTGGGCCCGAATCCACGACCTCCACGACCTCCAGGCCCAAAGGCCAGTGCTCTACCAACTGAGCTACTGTCACCCCCTGATACAACATAAATTACACAAATGACTCAAGATTGCAGGAGAACGAGATTATGAGATGAAATCCCCCGGGGCCTAGACCCTGATGGTGATAGCAATAGGAGAAGGATGATAGAGCTGGTCTGGAACGAGGACGAGATGGGGAGGAGGAGGGTTGCAGCGTGAATGAAGCTACTGCATGCATGGAGCTTCCTCACGATATGAAGCTTGCTTCGGGGCGATGCCTGATTGCTGCAGGTGAGGATTGGCGTGTGGCTGAATGTGATTGACTGATGCTGTTGCCGTGAGCAACAGTGGCAGGACTTTGAGCGCTGTGAGCCAAGTTCTTCCAGTCTGAACCGTCGCTCTAGCTTTATGTCTGTGTTTCTTATGCAACTGTAATATTGATAATGCACGGGTAAACAAGCAAAAACAAGTAAACATTGTACTTTTCTTAGTGAGAAAATAAGTGAAAGAAGAGTCGGAACACAATGCATTGGTTTCTTTATTCAGTGTTAGTTGTAGACGCCGCTGTGGCACCTGTGTCTCTGTAAGGCCTCACTTTCTCTGGCACCTTCACAACACTCTGCATCTCACACCTGTGTCTTTGCACTTTTCATTTCCGTCTGTTAATCAGAACCTGCATTAATAAATACATTTTCATAAGATTGAATCAACAAAAATACATCGTCACCGTAGTCACCGGCTTTATGCAAGATCTCTCTGTATCTCTCGGTACAGTTGCTACTTGCATGGCTCCTTCTGCTTTACTTAATTCAGTGTTTGTGGGCCGTGGCGCGTTAGTGTGCCTTTGGAAATGACCCAAATCACTGCATCGGTCAAAATAATGTGAAAGGAAAATAATAAGAGATTAGAAAGACTTTTTTGCTTTTCTATGTACAGTGGTCCCTTGTTTATCACAGGGTTACGTTCGAAAAATAATCCCCGACAAGTAGCCGCTGCAAAACCCTCACACACAATATATACACTTTGCTAACCACCTTAACTCACAAAGTGCGAATGTGGGAATAACAAACCTGTTGGTTGTAGGTCTGAGTGCTGCTGCAGCTGTCAAAAGCCGTGTATACACTTTAAAATACAGCTACAGAGGACACTGAGGGCCAGGAGCAGGACTGAAGGCTACGGGAAGACGTGATATAGACCAGAGAAAGACTAGAGAGAGACCAGGGAGACCAGAGAGAGACAAGAGAGAGACTAGAGAGAGACCAGAGAGAGACTAGAGAGAGACCAGAGAGAGACTAGAGAGAGACCAGAGAGAGACTAGAGAGAGACCAGGGAGACCAGAGAGAGACTAGAGAGAGACTAGAGAGACAAGTGAGAGAGACAAGAGAGAGACCAGAGTGACACCAGAGAGAGACAAGTGAGATACAAGACAGAGACCAGAGTGAGACCAGAGAGAGATTAGAGAGAGAGACTAGAGAGAGAGAGAGAGAGACTAAAGAGAGACAGAGAGAAAGACTATAGAGGGACCAGAGTGAGACCAGAGAGAGACTAGAGAGAGCCTAGAGAGAGACCAGAGAGAGACTAGAGAGAAACAAGAGAGAGACCAGAGCGAGACTAGGGAGAGAGACCAGAGAGACTAGAGAGAGAGAACAGAGAGAGAGACCAGAGTGAGACTAGAGAGACAGACCAGAGAGAGAGCCTAGAGAGAGACTAGAGAGAGAGAAACCTCTGAACACACACACATACACAAATCTGTAAAACCACAATGACGTGTGTGATTGTGGGGACCACTGTAACACACTTTGACTTTACTTTGATAATAAAGGTTCTCAGTTTGAGCCGGTGGTGTGTCATGTTCCCAACGACAACACTGTGCCACGGCTCAGAAAGGTCGGGGATCACTGGCTTTAAACACAAAATAAAACGCACACAGATGTCGCACATGTATTATTTAAACGTGGATAACAACCACACAAAGGATTAGCTTCCCGTCGTCCCATTCTTCGTTCAGTGCATTGCAGAAATTGCTTTGAAAAGTCTCTGTCCTCACAAATGCATGATAGTCAGTCCACCACGGCAACAAATCAGCTACACTGAAATATGTGTGAAGTTGTGTGTTTTTGTGTAGATTTTAGCTCATGACCGACACATGTTTTGTTTGATAGATTATGTGTTGAGTTCATGTAATATTAAAAAATGAGGCGAGGACTTTTCCATCCAATATACACACACACATATGCACACACACATATATGCACACACACACACACATATGCACACACACGCATACATGCCTACGAACACATAATTACACACATTCACACCCATGCGTACAAACAGTTACACACATGCATACGAACAGTTACACACATACACTCACACACACAGATGCATATGAACACACAGTTACACACACACACATGCATACGAACAGTTAAACACAAACACACACATGCATACAAACACAGTTACACACATACACACACACACACACACAGATGCATATGAACACAGTTACACACACACACACACACATGCATACAAACAGTTACACACACACACACGACTACATAGTTACACCACACACACATTCACAGTCTCGCATTTACTCACACACACACGCACACTTACATCCACCCATCACACATGCACATTCACACCCATAAAAACACACACACACACACACACACACACACACACAGGCAAAAATGATCGATAATTATGAACACAATGATTCCTAATGAGTATGAATGTCCTCGTGCAAAAACCTGCAGAGCTCAGTGTGTGTCGTGGCCATAAAAGAATGATCCACATCTGCCATCTGTATGTGTGTGTGTGTCTCTTAGCATATGTGTGTGTGTGTCTGAGCATATGTGTGTGTGTGTCTCTGAGCATATGTGTGTGTGTGTCTGAGCATATGTGTGTGTGTGTCTGAGCTCTGAGCATATGTGTGTGTGTGTGTCTGAGCATATGTGCGTGTGTCTGTGTCTGAGTGAGCGACAGAAGATGAATGTGAGGTCCATTCTACAAAAGGACAACTTTTTGAAGAGTTCATTCGCCGTACCGCCCATGTTTTGTTTTCGGCTGTGAAATTAGACTTTCCCCATTGAGAGGAAAACATTTAATTGGATGGCACAAAAACAAAAAGATAACAGCATGGTAAAGGGCAAATTGGTGTGTGTGTGAATGGGGATCGGAGGGGCTGATGGCACAGACTAGTTGCCTCGCTTCTGTCAGTGTGCCTCAGGGCAGCTGTGGCTACTGTGTTAGTTAATCACCACCATGTTTGGAGTGAAAGAATAATCAAATGACCCTTTTCTGTTTTTTCCAATAGACTCTTCATATTGTTCCAGTGTTTGTCGCTCCCAGTGATTCCATGCTACAGTGCAAGAAAAGCTACACTATGGAACATTTTTTGTGTCCGATTTTTTTTTGAATGAAAAAGCTTGTTTGAATATTTTTATCTTTGCATTTCAGTCACTAAAATTCCAAATTTCACAATGACATATTAGCCTTAAAAATTTTCAAAATGTTTATTTTCGACCCTTAAATTCAATGAAAATAAAAACAGACGGATAAAAATTTAAAATTTTAAATGTACATGATTTTTCAGATTTTATTTATACATCTTGAATATTATTATCTGTGAATTTCAGTCGCTGATTTTCAATTTCATAATGTTTTTCTCGATGCATATATTTTGACACAAAAAATCTTCCATGCTACACATACAAATTCAGCATGTTCTAAAATGAAAACTAAATAGATTCCCTTAGAAAAATACTAGAGATAATCGATCATCATCTTCTATCGTTATTATAATTACACAAGAAAATATTGCCATCTGAGGAGATATTGTATCAAGTGGGTAAAAAGAGTGAACGTCCCTCAATAGTCGTGTGAAAGGTTTTCTGTTTTTATCCTCTCTGTGGGACGTGCGGCGGCTCCTGGCTGCTCTCTAAAAGCTCGTCGTCAGAGAAGCTAATATGGAGACAGGTGTCGTTCATGTTGGACTGTTCCGACTCCAAATGAGGCCTGAGCTCGGCCGGAGAGTCGCCACGTTCCCCTCGCTCCTCTTCAGGACTCTCGCATCTGCTGGTGGCGCTCACAAAAGTTGCGCTCTCTCCAAACATGCCGCCGCCGCCGTCTTCGTCGTCGCACAGCGGGGAGAACAGCGACTTGGTTTCCGAGCGCACTCCGGAGTCGTCGCTGGCCGAGCTGGTCTCTCCGTTGCTGAAGGAGGTGAAGTCCCCGGATGACAGGGGGCTGGGGGTGACGTCCGGGAAGGAGAGGCTGCTGCTGCGACTCGGCGCCTCCTCGCTCAGCTCCAGGGGCAGAGCGGCACCAGCGGAGACGGCGCCCGGAGACAGGGTCCGGCTGGCGCGCTTACGAGACGGAGGGGGGTCCAGTTTGGGGATCGGACACCTGTGGATGACAAGCGACAGAGACGGTTTTATATTCAACGTTTTTCAAAGTGCCGCAGTGCATTGCTCTTGACATTCAGATCTGTTGTACTTGTATTTAGAGGAAGGGGAAACCCGGAGCACCTGGAGGAAACCTACAGAGACACGGGAAGAACATTGCAAACTCCACAAAGAAAGGCCTGGAGGTGGAGTAAACTCATGACCTTCTTGCTGTGTCACCATGCTGCCAAAGAATCAGAAATTGTGTAAATGTCTCGTTTTTTAGAGATAAAAACAAGTCTTGGGATATTCTGATTGATGTCACATGTTTTGTGATGTTGCGCAGTATGTTGTCTAATGATTGACGACCAGTGACCAAGTATATTCCAACCGACTCGCCGCCGCTGGGTCCTATTTTAATCAGTGAGAGTCAAAGGGAGTCCATACCTAACACTAAGCTCACATGGCACGTTATACCTCATTTTAAAGTGAATGCTCTCAGGAAAACAAGCAAATCATTTGTTTTACTCTTAAGGATCAAATCAAGCTATATGTCAAAAATCACCAGTATCGTTTCAGTGGGTTCATTTTCTTCAGTATCGACAGTGACAAAACACTGGTAACGTGTAAGAAAAGAGGAAGTTCGAGGCTCTTTTGACAGACAAATCAAGATCCTTTCATGAACCAGGAGCCACGTTTAGGGCCTTCTTCAGGGCATGTAGTAGATTACAGGTACCAGGTGTGGTTTAATGTGGGGGTGATAATGAAAATTATAAACATGAAAATTATATGGATATGTGGTGATGATGATGACGTTATGTATGGAGGACCAAAAATGACTAAAGTATAAATAAATAAATAAATAAATAAATACAGGAGTATATTAATAAATACATTCATTTTGGACAATAAAAACTAAATATTTATATGCTAAATATATATAAATATATATGCTAAATATTACTCTGAAATCAAATAAATATACTTTTATTTAGGTTATTTATCAAAATCTAAATTTTTTCCTTTATTTATTTATCCATTTATTGCATTTATTTATTTATGTATTTCTACATTTCTTCATTTATTTATTTATGTATTTCTGTGTCGCTACATTTCTTCATTTATTTATTTATGTATTTCTACATTTCTTCATTTATTTATTTATGTATTTCTGTGTCGCTACATTTCTTCATTTATTTATTTATGTATTTTTGTGTTCCTGTATGCTAATTAGGTGGGCGGTGCTGAACTCAATCTAGAACAGGATTGGTTAGGATTGCGTGAACTCTGGTCTCGATCATTACTGCCTCACATTACGATACTCTGTTAGCTAGCTAGAGATCCTCTGTGCACTTTTGTGTGGTATGATGGCAGTTTCGAATGTAAGTTTTTTAGGAGCCATTGCTCATCAATTAAGAGCATTAGCAAATGATGTTAATGATGTTGAGCATAATGCACCTGAGGACTATCTACTCTTTCGGCTGGAAAGACTATTAAATGTTTTAGTTCATCACAGTGCTGACCCAGAGGTAGACTTTGATGCAACTGTGCTGGACGCTCTTCAACAAGCAGCAGCTTCACATCCTCTCACAAACCGAGAAGGCTAAAGCCAAGCGTACATCGGACTGGCAACTGATTATATCCGTCGCATATGAGTTGCTGCCCCGCACACATCGACAATCTGACGAAAACGGGCAACTCCCAGTCGCAGACCAGTCTCGGGAATAACAGCGCGTACATCGACAGCAACTGGCCTCAACTACAGTGTGTTTTCTGACAACAAACTGTTGCGGGCTCGCAATACACACAATACACACACGTTGTCAGAGCGGCGCATGGAGCGCGCACATCGGGTCATATCTCCGAAACTGAGGACAACTAGTTGCCGAAAAGTAGAACACGGGCAACTGGACTGAAACTGGAGACCGACTGATCATCTCCAGTTGTAAGAGCGCTCACATCGACCGATTTCAACTGATCATCTCCCATTATCTCCTCTCAGTTGCCAAAAGCCGCCTTGCAACTTGTCTCCAGTTTCTCTGTCGATGTACGCTAGGCTTAACTTTGCTTCTGTCTGGTTGCCCTGGCTGACCTACTGCCCACCAATCCTGTTCTAGATTGAGTTCAGTACCGCCCGCCTAATTAGCATACGGCAACACAGAAATACATAAATAAATAAATGAAGAAATGTAGAAATACATAAATAAATAAATGAAGAAATGTAGAAATACATAAATAAATAAATGAAGAAATGTAGAAATACATAAATAAATAAATGAAGAAATGTAGCGACACAGAAATACATAAATAAATAAATGAAGAAATGTAGAAATACATAAATAAATAAATGAAGAAATGTAGAAATACATAAATAAATATATGCAATAAATGGATAAATAAATAAAGGAAAAAATGTAGATTTTGATAAATAACCTAAATAAAAGTATATTTATTTGATTTCATAGTAATATTTAACACATCAATGTAAATATTTAGTTTTTATTGTCCAAAATGAATGTATTTATTAATATATTCCTGTATTTATTTATTTATTTATACTTTAGTCATTTTTGGTCCTCCATAGGTTATGACACCTAAAGGCATATAAAATATTAAGGTAACAAGAATATAAACTTATTATACATATACTGTATAAATCAAGGGCATATTAACTTGAATGTCACTGTTGCATAACTGCACCACTGACTAAGCTAAGCTATAGCAACCATAATTTAAGTTAATTAAATTAGAATAATTAATAGGGGGTGGGAGTTTAAAAGTCTTAACTTCTTCCCACTCCTTTTCGAGCTGACTTTTTGTTATGTATTATTTATTGTTTATTTGTTTTGTATTGTCTTTTTGTTTTGTTTTTTTTCTATTCAGTTGTTTTGCTGTTGTTCCTTGTTCTTGTCTGACATGGCTCGAAATAAAAGTATTCATTCAATGTTATCAGTCCCTGTAATATAAAATGTATGCACTAATCTGCAGCTGCTATAATTGTATGTACTGAAAATGTTTAGATCATAAGACCAGTATTACAATTTTACTTTTTATATGTATGTGTATATGTATTTTAGGCTGTTTTCTTGTATTTTGGATCTTTTGTGCCTGTGAAGCACTTTGGGCGGTTGGTGTTGTATCACTTTTGAATGCGCTGGAAAACGACAACAAGTCCTGAGTAGCTCTGAAACAGTTTTTGTTTTGTGCTGTATCATTTTTCTTTTTCTCCACCTTGTGACCTGTCCTGCTCCACCCAAGGCAAGGCAGGGAAAATGTATTTGTATAGCACAATTCATACACAAGGCAACTCAAAGTGCTGAACAAAACAAAATAGCATTAAAATCCTAAATAATCACAGAACATTAAAAATAAAGATAAAAATATAAAATCCCTCAGTTGTATGCACAGCTAAACAGAACTGTCTTTAACCTGGTTTTAAACATTGTCAGAGAGGAGGCCTGTCTCCCATCTTCAGGAAGACTGCTCCAGATTTTAGCAGCATGAATCTGAAAAGCAGCCTCCCCATGTTTAGTTCTGACTCTGGGCACTAACAGGAGTCCAGTCCCTGTGCTCCTCAGAGTCCGGGCTGGTTCATATGGGACTAACATGTCACCAATATATTTTGGTGCGAGGCCATGGAGAGACTTGTACACAAGCAGAGCTGTTTTAAAGTCTATTCTCTGAGCCACAGGAAGCCAGTGCAGAGACCTGAGAACTGGACTAATGTGGTCATACACCCAGAGGCTACTCCACCTTGTGACCTGTCCTGCTCCACCCAGAGAGTACCCCATCTCTGCTGCTGTGACCTCAAGGGCCATTGCTTATTATTACTATTGTTAGGTTTTAAGAATGATACATTTTAATTTTACTTTACTTTAAATCTCATCTGTTTACAAGACTTGACCGTTCACTAACCAATTTGGAGTTGACTTCATACCAAAGACAATATGCAAAAGGCAAAATGCTTAGAGATGCCATAAATATATACAGTATATATATATATAATCCAGTCACATTCATTTATATGGGATTTCTCTCTTTTATCTCGCATTTGTCTCAGGAGGCCGTTTGGAATCAGCCTGGAGGAAAACACTCGACTCAAAACTTCCCATAAAATAAACAGTGTGATGTCAGCTTTCCTCCTTCTCTGCAGCGATACAGCCTGTTGTTTTGATCTATCCGGCAGCTTTGTGCATCTCCCCTGCTCCCTGTGGAGAAAATGGGAGGTGAAGACTGAGAAAGAGCTGGAGGCTGAACTCCTATGTGTGGATGAGAGAAACCGGTGGGAACCAACACCTGCTCTTTGGAAACCTCTATACCGCCAGCGTTGTGTAGTGATGTAGACAAAAGGTGACAACTTAAAAGAAGAGTGTGGTCATATTTATAACTTATTACAATATATTGAATTAACATAGAGAAAAGGGGTGGGATTTAATATAGTGGTCATATTTATAAGTTATAACAATATATTAAGGGCGACAGTAGCTCAGTTGGTAGAGCACTGGTCTTTGAACCTAATGGTCGTGGGTTCGGATTCCCCGCGACCCATGTCATCTGCTCCCACTGATGTCTGCTGTCGTTGTGACCCTGGGCAAAACACTTGACCCCACAATGCCTGAAGCCCCAGCTGACAGACCAAGGCCATATCTTCAATCATGGAGAAGCCATAATCCCGTGGACCCACCACCTGCAGGAGGATCAGCGAGGGACTGATGCATTGAGACTTGGGTGGCAGCTCCCCCCCCCCCCCGAAATTGAATAATAAAGGGGTAGAAAATGACATGACATGACTATATATTAAATTAACGTAGGGAAAAGGGGTGGAAAAACACTATACCATACAAAACTAAACTCTATCCATTTTCTTCCCCCATTTTCTTCTGTCCATTTGTGATTTCCACCCCATTCACAGAACACCAGCCCCACAACTAAACTAAACTACACTAATTGCACTCATTGCACTATGCTAAATGTGTATCGGTTGCTGATCTTTCAGTTGGATGTGATTCCTGGGCCGTTATT